CTGCAATACCCATGCATGGGGGAACCACATGCACTGCGGGCAACTGGCACTAGATAGGCCTTGTATACTGCATGCAGGAGCCCGCCTAGCAAGCACACTGGAACCAGGAGGAAAATCCCGTCTCCTGCAGTGTCTTTCCAGCGCCCTCTAACGACAAAGCTTAACATGGTGCCTGTTGGCAGAGAAAAAACATAAAGGGCCCATTATAATTTTTTTCAGAGCAGGCAGTAAAAGGTGAATTGGAGCTACGTTGATTTTATGCGGAAGTTGACACAGTAATTCTAAATTTCATATGGAAATGCAAAGGACCTAACTATAGCCAAAACAACTCTGAAAAAAAAGCATAAATTTGGTGGACTAACACGACTTGATGTCTACAATAAATCCATAGTATAAAGACAGTGTGGTGTTGGTGTAAGGACAGACAAAATAGATCAATGGAACAGAATAGAGAATCCAGAAATAGGTCTATACATATAGGGACATCTGAACTTCAACAAAATTGCCAACTGGAGAAATTCAGTGAAGAAAGAACTGTCTTCTGAGCAGGTGGTGCTAGAACAATTAGATGTCCATATCCACACACTCAAAGTGAACCTGGGTCAGCCACCACCTTTCTTGCCTTTCCGCCACGGTGACCGTGGGTCAGAGGAATTTGGGGCCATGAAACTGCGAAGCAGAGCCAAGTCCTTCAAGAGATTTTACTCCCTCAAAGTTGCTCCCAAAGTGGAAGCCATGACTGCCCCTGCAGGAGTGACTGCACATCCCCAGGACCTCGACTTTACCAAATTACCAAATAGTTTAGTGATTGCATCTCTGGAAAACTGTGCTCCTGCATCAAGAATGGGTTTGCTCGCCCTGACTGGTTTGGCTCAGTGGATAGAGGATCGGCCTGCGGACTCAAGGGTCCCAGGTTCGATTCTGGTCAGGGGCGTGTACCTTGGTTGCGGGCACATCCCCAGTGGGGAGTGTGCAGGAGGCAGCTGATCGATGTTTCTCTCTCATCAATGTTTCTAACTCTCTATTCCTCTCCCTTCCTCTCTGTAAAAAATCAATAAAATATAAAAAAAGAATGGGTTTGCTCATTAAAGCAGGCAGTGGGTACGAGGACTCTAACAACTGAGGAGCCTCTCATTTGCTTTGTTGTGCATCCAGTCTGACTACAAAAGGAGCATCCATCATCTTTTCAGATAACCAGTGGAATTGAAGCTGTTGGTGGTAAATTAAGTGTGACTTCAACAAGGGAAAACATGGCCTGCGCTGTGGAATGCCTGCGGGATGACATGGAAATTCTAATGGAGTTGCTGCTCAGTGTCACCACAGCACCTGAGTTTCGTCATTGGGAGGTGGCTGCCCTTCGGTCCCAGCTGAGGATTGACAACGCTGTGGCTCTTCAGAACACACAGGCTCATATCATTGGAAATCTGCATGCTGCAGCTTACCAAAATGCCTTGGCTAACTCCTTGTATTGTCCTGATTATAGGATTGGAAAAGTGACACTAGATGAGTTACATCACTATGTTCAGAACCATTTTACAAGTGCAAGAATGGCTTTGGTTGGACTTGGTGTGAGTCATCCTGTTCTGAAGCAAGTTGCTGAACGGTTTCTGAACATGAGGGGTGGGCTTGGTTTATCAGGTGCAAAGGCCAGATACATGGAGGTGAAATTCGAGAGCAGAATGGAGACAGTCTCATTCATGCTGCCTTTGTAGCAGGAAGTGCTGCCATAGGAAGTGCAGAAGCAAATGCATTTAGCATTCTCCAGCATGTCCTCAGCGCCGGACCACATGTCAAGCGAGGCAGCAATGCCACCAGCCCTCACTAGTTGCCAAGGGGACTCACTAGCCATTTGATGTTTCTGCTTTTAATGCCAGTTACTTGGATTCTGGCCAGATACATGGAGGTGAAATTCGAGAGCAGAATGGAGACAGTCTTGTTCATGCTGCCTTTGTAGCAGAGAGTGCTGCCACAGGAAGTGCAGAAGCAAATGCATTTAGCATTCTCCAGCATGTCCTCAGCGCCGGAACACATGTCAAGCGGGGCAGCAATGCCACCAGCCCTCTGTACCAAGCTGTTGCCAAGGGGACTCACCAGCCATTTGATGTTTCTGCTTTTAATGCCAGTTACTTGGATTCTGGACTCTTTGGGATTTATACTATCTCGCAGGCTGCAGCTGCTGGAGATGTTATCAAGGCTGCCTGCAACCAAGTCAAAGCAATTGCTCAAGGAAACCTTTCCAGCCCAGATGTCCAGGCTGCCAAGAACAGGCTGAAAGCTGGGTACCTAATGTCAGTGGAATCTTCTGAAGGTGTCCTGGATGAAGTCGGGTCTTAGGCTCTCGCTGCTGGCTCGTATGTGCCACCATTCACAGGCCCTCAGCAGATTGGCTCAATAGCTGACGCTGATGTCATAAATGCTACCAAGAAGTTTATTTCTGGCCAGAAGGCAATGGCAGCAAGTGGAAATTTGGGGCATACACCTTTTGTTGGTGAGCTGTAAACCTGAAACACATTATAGGAAAGAGATGGACATTTTCTCAACCCAGAGCAGCAAACACATGAAAGTCCCACATCTATAATATAATATTTGTCTTGGTTTTCAATAAGGTGAAATATCTTAAAAAGTATAAATGCAGGTAATTGTTCCCTGCTGACCTAAAGTCAATGAAATATTCTAAGTGTTAAAAAAAAAAGTGAACCTGGATCCATACCTCACATCTTACACAAAAATTGACTGAAATATATATTATAAAGCTAAATGTAAAAATAAGAAACTTCTAGAAGAAAATATAGGGAAAATTTCTGTTACTTGTATTTGGCAAAGATAGGACCCTCAAAGAATAAATTTATTAGCTACAACCTGTAAAAAATAAATTGACAAGTTAAAACTTATTTTCAAAGGTACTCTTAAGAGAAAGAATAAGAAAACAAGCCACAAATGGAGGGGGGAGGGGAATGAAGAGGGAGTGGAGGAATGTTTGCAAAGCATGTATCTGATAAGTTATTTGTATCCAAAAATGTATAAAGAACTTATAAAAGAACATGAAATTCAAATTAAAAACTTGGCAGAAAATTTGAGCAGATACTTCACCAAAGTAGTTCACTGATAACAAAAAAGCACATGAAAAGATGATTAAGTTCATTGGCCATTAGGGAAATGAAAGTAAAGCCACAGTGAGATGTCACTGATCACTCATTAAAATGGCAGAAATTAAAAAGACAGACCCTAGCCAGTGTCAGTGAGCATGTGTAGAACTGAAACTCAGATACAGCTGTATTTTCTATGTTAGAAAACAGTTTGGCAGTTTCTTAAAAAGTTGAAGGTGCACCTGCCATGTGATCCAGTGATTCCACTCCTGTGTATGTATCCAAGAGAAATGAGAGCAGATATCCATTTAGCGACTCACACATATTCATCACAGCTTTATTTGTAATAGGACAAAACTGGAAAGAACTCAAATATTTAAAGGTGAATGGGTTTTTTTTAAACCCTATAGTACATCCATATGCTACCTAGCAATTATAAGTCATGAGCTATTGATGGGCACATCACGTGAATGACACTCAAAATAATTATGCTGAGTGGAAGAAGCCAGACCAAAAGAAATCACATGCTTTCTGATTCAGTTTATATAAAATTCTAGAAAGTGCAAACTAGTGTATAGTGTTGGAAAGCGTATTAGCAACTGCCTAAGGACGAGGAATGGAAAGATGGAGAAGGGCAGGAAAGAGGGATACAGAGATTCATGGGAAAATATGTAGGGATGTTGGATATGTTCATTATCTAAAATGTGTGAGGGTTTCATAGGTGTATACTGTGTCAAAAATTATGGAATATTATACCATAAATGTGTCATCCTGTATAATAAAAGGCTAATATGCAAATAGACCAAACAGTGGAACAACCAAACAACCAAACAATTGGTCGCTATGATGTGCGCTGACCACCAGGGGGCGCACAGAGAACATGGCAGCCATTGGCTGCAGCGGGATGGTGGAGCAGGTGAGTGGGGGTGCCAGACCAAGGTGGGACTCCGGTCGCTGTCATCAAGGCGAGCCTCTGGTGGTTACTGAAAATTCTTTGCTCCCACGCTCCATGGTCCTGCCCAGCACGCGGACCTGCTGCTGGCGCCGGCCCCACTTGCTCCCACAGCTGGCACCAGAGCCGCCACTCACACCTGCTGCCGGTGCCTGGCTCTGGTCCCATCGGCACGTAGGAGCAGCACCGGCAGGAGCAGGGCTGCTGGCAGACAGAGGACCGGGGGTCGTGCAGCAGGAGGGGCTGGGCAAGGGCACAGAAGATGGGCCGAGACCCGCCCCTTTGTCCACTGCAGCCTCACAGCCCACAGTTCCTTTCAAGGTGCACGAATTTGTGCACTGGCCCCTAGTTTATATATAATTATATGTCAATTATACCTCAATTAAGGCCTTTAAAAAAAGAAATTCTTCCTTCCAAATTATCATCCTACTGTGTGAACTCATGTGTTAACTGATGTAACAATGTCAACCAAGTAGACAAGTTAATGGAATGCAGATTTGTTAAGTTGGAAGCTTAAGTTTACCTCAAGGGTACATGAAAGAACATGCTCAATGCATCAATCATGTCCCTCGGAGAACTAAAATAAGTCCCAGTGAATAATGTGATAACATTGTGCAATTTAATACCTTTGACTATGCTGTCAAAACTTCAGAAATCAGAGAGAGAGAACCACCAAAATAAGATGGTTCTATTTGTGAGGGGAACATGTAGACTTTTCTACAAAAGAAAAGCTGTACTTTTCTTCTTCCAGTTTAATAAGACATTCAGTGGAATAGCCACTCTCTTTTTTGGATAAGTGTTAAAACAAACCATTGAGTCTTAGAAATGATTTATATTGAGAGGAGTTGCAAGAGCTTACCTTTCATCTGTTGCATAAACCTGTTCTTTTTCACAACTGTTTTGATTCACAGCATACTGATCTGTGCTTCCTCTCTTTCCTCTCATGTGTTTTGATATGCCAGATGTATCGTGAAGATTACTGGAGAAATGGTGTTGTCCTTCCCTGCCGGCATCACCAGACACTTTGCCAACAACCCATCGCCAGCTGCCCTGACTTTCCGGGTGATAAATTTCAGCAGGTTAGAACACGTCCTGCCAAATCCCCAACTTCTCTGCTGGTAAATATATTTTGCACAATTTTTTTAGAGATATGTGTAGCTTAGCACTTCATTCTCTGATAAGGGAGGGATAAACCTTAGCAAGGAAGTAACACTGTAAAGCAATTACCGCTGCTCAGATATGTGTGTAGATTCAAACTCAGAACTTTTACAGCTGTCCAAGTTTTTTGTGATTGACTGTACATCTGTGCACATACGTATTTTAATGGCCAACTATCTCAAGTGGCTGGAGAGAGATTTAGAGTAATAAAATCTGTATTAGTGACAATTTATTTATTGTCCATTTTACTTATCATCAGTAGACAATGGACAAGGATGGTGGAAAATGAACCCAATAAAAGGAATAAACTGTTGTTGTAGTAGCATCTTTAAAGTCAAACGATATTTGAATTGTGCGAAACTCTTCACATGAACATGAAAACTTTTTCTGTGAAACATAATTATATTGACATTGCTGGGTAGTAACTGAGTGCCTCTGTTTGGTATAGTGTGACAGTATGACCTACAATAACACTGACCTGGGCTGGAATCCTGACTCTCTTACCTATTAGCTATTCCAACTTAAGCAAATTACTTAATTTTGCTGACCCTCCATTACTATCTGCTGCCTTGCTGTGTAGCTACAGCTCTGGAAGCTCTAGGTAACTTGAATGTTTTTAGATAATAACACTTTACTAGTAAACAGCCTGAATCAGCACCTTGACCTCAGCTTGATTAGAGGCAAAGTCTCGGAGGAGGCCAGGATTCTCTTCCTGCATGCCCCGAGTTATATAGCAACAACCCAGACCAGGGCCCAGCAGAACCACATAGGTCATGCTGAGACTTGGCTCCCCACCACCCCCAAACTACTCCCTCTCAACAGAACAGTAGCATTTTTATTGATTTTTTACAGAGAGGAAGGGAGAGGGATAGAGAGTTAGAAACATCGATGAGAGAGAAACATGAATCAGCTGCCTCCAGCACGCTCCCCACTGGGGATGTGCCCACAACCAAGGTACATGCCCTTGACCGGACTCGAACCTGGGACCCTTGAGTCCGCAGGCTGACGCTCTATCCACTGAGCCAAACCGGTTAGGGCAAGGCTCTGATGTTTTTTTGACTGAGCTGTTCTGACTTGTTAGACTTCTGGCAGCTTACTTGCGACCTGCCTTTATAACATTATCACTGCCACTCTTCTGTCTTCTTAATCTCTAATTTTCTCTTTTTGTAACATTTGCCCATCCTTAAAAAGGAAGATAATTCTTCCTTTACAGGTAGATTTTAATGAAATGTTAACAGAGTGCCTAGCACATAATAGGTGCTCAGAAAATTATATCTACTGTTTATAGATTTTAATGAAATGTTAACAGAGTCCGCACATAATAGGTGCTCAGAAAATTATATCTACTGTTTGACGTAGAATATTCTGAAAGTGAAATGTCATTAAACTTGAGTTGTATGTCCAGTTTCTGAATCACTTGGGTTCTGTTTCCTCATTATGTGGGAAGTGAGCAAATGCTTTTCACACTCTTATGTGACTTTTTTGTCATTGAGAAGAGCATTTTCAACATATATCAGGTGGGTCACCTGTGGGCAGGCACCTGAGCAAAGCTAATGCTTCTCATAAGAATACAAACTCCTCAGTTCATCAAGACTGTGCTTGTCTATTGTAACTACCATGGTAATTATCATTTAAATTCCAGGGTCATCTTGTAAGAAAAGTGACTTTTTTATGACTTAGATGCTCTTAGGTGATATATTGTGAATGCTAAAAAGGTAGCATGGTAATGCTAGTATCACCCTTTTTTCCGCAGTTGGTGACAAAGACATTTGGCCAAAAATTTAACTCAGTAATTTCTGAGAAACTACTGTTCAAGTCAATACAAAAAAAAAAAAAGAAAACCAATAAACTCAGCTATTTGATTGCATTAACTGACTAAGTCAGAGGAAACTGGTGATGTAGAAAGAGCTATTAAGTTTGGATTAATAAATAATTCACTCTTCAAAGCAACCAATTATCATTATGATTGGTTAATATTACTGAGTACTCACTGAGATTTATAAAACTACAATAATGCCTCCCTATGGGTATTAATCTATTAACTTAATACCATTTAGAACTGCAATTGAATTGAAACCATACTACTGTTAATAATATAATCTACAAATTGTCAAAGATGGATGTAGAAATCAGACTGCAATTTGCTAAGATGATTCTTTATGTCAAGATGATAATCATTTTTTTCTTCCCAATTGAATAGCGATAATACCCAAAGTGATGCCAATAGCAAGGAATTCTGGGTAAACATGCCAAATTTGATGACTCACCTAAAGAAAGTGTCTGAACAAAAACCCCAGGCTACATATTATAATGTGGACATGCTTAAATATCAGGTAAGCCTATTTATATGGCCAGGGTGTGGTTTTTACATTACAAATGTATATTCTAACATACGTAGCATTAAATAAAAGTAAATAAAATAACATTTCTTTTAATATTATTTAAAAGCTATAATTATAAGAAAATAGAACTTTTAAAAGACTACTTGCAGACTTAGTGACAAGAATATTCATACATATTCTTAGTTTAAACTTACAAGTAAAATTTTTTTTTAAATATTAGAAAAACATGCCACAGAATTAAGTTGCAGAAAATTACATCAGTAAAGATTATAAATATTGATAAACTTGTTCACTGTATTTTGTTAAGAACATTATTATATTAAAACCTCTTATTTTAAATTATTAAATGTAAGTACTCTGGTGTTTTTTTTTCTAATGTGGTAGTCCTATGAAATAAATTCTAGTAAAATTCATGGTAAGAAATAATTTGATGTTAAAAGACTGGTTGGTACAACACAATATAGTATAAAAGAATTTTCTTTTTCTGTCCAGGATTGCCCTTCTCCCAAATTATTACTGGCTTAGTAAATAAGCTTTCAAACCAGGATTCTATACAGCCTGAGTACCCTATCGATTCCCAGCCACTTGATCACCTAGGTTATCTTTAATGTATTATAATTTTTGTGATTAAATATGTCCATATTATTTTTCTTAAGATGGGGAAAAAATATTATCTTTAAAGTTGTATTTTACTAGAAATTGGTGCATCTTAAACATAATTCTATAATCACCAGAGAATTTGTAAATGAATACTCGTTCTGAACTTGTGCTAATTACTAGTATATATAGACTTGAGGCCTGGTGCACGAAATTTGTGCAGTTGGGGGGGGGCAGCCCTCAGCCCAGCCTGCACCCTCTCACAGTCTGGGAGCCCTCAGGGGATGTCCAAATGCTGTGGGGGCGGGAGAGGCTCCTGCCACTGCCAGCCATGAGCCTGGCTCAGGGCTTCTGGCTGAGTGGCGCTCCCCCTGTGGGAGCGCAATGACCACCAGGGGGCAGCTCCTGTGTTGAGTGTCTGACCCCTGGTGGTCAGTGCACGTCATAGCGACTGGTCAACCGGTTGGCTGTCTGCCCCCTAGTGGTCAGTGCACACCATAGTGAGCGGTTGAGCGGCCTTAGCATATTACGCTTTGATCGGTTGAATGGACAACCAGACCACTGGATACTTAGCATATTAGGTTTTTATTATATAGGATATACATAGACATCTACATTAAAATCTATTTGTAAATATAGAAATAGACATAGAGATATAGACACAGACACAGATACAGACATAGACATCTGCTGGGCCCTGAAACTCCCAGAGATTTTGACTTAATTGGTTCAGGGTATGACCCAGATATCTGTATTTGTTTCAAGTTCTCCAAGTGATTATAATGCACCCTATAGGTTGAAAAGCACTCACAATATCATAAGGAAACCATTGAAAGTGAAGTATATATATATGATGGCAGATTTTACAACAATGCAAATGAATGTTTTTTCTGTAAGAATTGGATTATCTAAGCTTATTATCAACTAGAGGTCCAGTGCACGAATTCATATACTGGTGGGGTCCCTCAGCCCAGCCTGTACCCTCTCGCAATCCAGGACCCCTCGGGGGATGTCAGAGAGCCGGTTTCGGCCCCATCCCCACAGGCCAGGCCAAGGAACCCCACCGGTGTACAAATTCGTGCACTGGGACTCTAGTATGCATACAAGATCTTTGGTTAATCTCTTCCCACCTTCCCCCTCCTCCCTTCGCTCTGAGATTCATCAGTCTGTTCCATGTTTCCATGCCTGTGGCTTCTGCTCCTGCGTTGAGTGTCTGCCCCCTGGTGGTCAGTGTGCGTATAGCTACTGGTCAGTTGAATGGTCGGCCAGTTGGCCAGTCACTTAGTCTTTTATATATATAGATAATATTAAACAAACACATAACATGACAGAAATTCATCACTTTTATAATTAAAAGATAATAAGATTTGGGAACAGCCTAAATGCCCATCAGCAAATGAATGGATTAGAAAACTATGGTACATCTACACAATGGAATACTATGCTGCTATAAAAAAGAAGGAATTCTTACTATTTGCCGCAGCATGGACGGAACTGGAGAGCATTATGCTAAGTGAAATAAGCCAGTCAGTGAAAGAAAAATACCATATGATCTCATTCATTTATGGATAATAAAGAACATTATAACCTAATGAACAAAAAGATAGATTCAGAGGCACAGAAGCATCAAACAGACTGTCAAAGTACAGCGGGAAGGCTGGGAATGTTGTGGGGGGTGGGGGTAAGAGATCAATCGAAGAACTTATATGCATGCATATAAGCATAACCAATGGACACAAGACACTGGAGGGGTGGGGTAAGGGCATGTGCCGGGGAGTAGGGGAGGCCAGGGAAAGGTCAATGGGGGGAAAAAGGAGACATATGTACTACTATTTGTAATACTTTAAACAAGAAAATAAAATTTTTTTAAAAAGATAATATAAAATGCATTTTCATTTAACTTTTTTCCCAAAGCATTTAAACGTATTTAGTGATTGCTTTAAGATTCTGAGAGAAATTAAAGGAGTTAAGAAAAAGAAATTCCAATGTAATTTTTCCCTGAATAGGAAGTTAAATTCTGGGGCACGTGCATGGTTCTTATGCCCAACAGGGTAAAACTAAAACTGTAGTTGTTTTCTTTCATGAACTTTCATTACAAATCCTGCATCTACATTTTCAATTCGGATTAAAATTGTTTTTTTGAAATTTTAAATCCTGTGAAATTTTTAAATTCTTCATATTTCTCATTAAGTGAACCTAGAAAATAGATAGACTCACCTATTGCAATATGAGTTTAGTGTATAAATATAACATTGGCAAGAAACTGAATTCTGGAATTAAGTCACCTTCCTACTGGCCACTGACCTTGGGCACTTCATCTCCCTGGACCTCAGTTTCCTCATCTGCAATTAAAGATAATAATGATTCCTACCTAGATATTTTATAGGCTATATGAGGAGCTTACTATATTTCAAAATACTTTGGAACATGTAAGTGGCCCTAGACCTGTTGTTCTGTGTTAAAGTGTGCTCTGAAAAATCTCTTGTTGAATTGTGTTGTTTTCAATTATGCAAGGAATTGGGTGGGAGGCACAACTAGTGTTTTTTGTGGGATTGCCCTCAAATTGCAGCATGTTTAGTTTCTGGTCACCAGTATCATCCTCCAATAGTAAGGACAATCAAAAACACACCCTCACTTAGCCACAAGCACCTGGCTGAATAGAACAACCACTATGAAGCTGGAACTGCTGAGGACAGAGTGCAGAAACACCACTTTTGATCTATCTTAACTGATAGATTTTTAAGTAAAAGTTCATTTGCAGAGGATTGTGTTGTTAAAAATATTTAAAGTTTAAAAAATCATAATAATGATTATCTAACTGAAATTGTCCTCAAAAGCCATGCCTGTCATTTTATTTAAAAAACAGCAACACATTTCTGGGCTTGGTTCTGCAGCAGCCACTCCTGCCTCAGGCGGCTTCACCATGGTGTCCATACGTGCAGACCTTGCAAAGTCAATAAAGAGCTGTTTATAATCTTCAAAATCAGCAAAACTCATACTCCATGAATCAAACTGCAAGGGCATAGACACCACCCAATCGCTCCTGCAGGGTGGCGTACTTAGAAAAGGAGAATTTCCTAGAGCTATTCGTTGTCACATTGAACAATCAAGGAATAATAACATTGTGAATTTTTTCATTGTGGGCCTTTAAAACTCAAGTTGATATTATTGGCTTTAGGTAAAATATATTTTAGTTGATTCTTCAAACTTGGATTTTCCTTGCTGGATTTTCCAGTTGATTCTAACTAGAATTGACAGTAGACAGCTGAATGCTGCACTTCCAGTTAGAGGACCAAGTCCTTATTTTGACAAATCCGAAAAGAGTAACAATAACCTCCTTTGTCCAACTCACTGGTTTGTTGTGAAGGGCAAATATGATAAGAATATCAATAGGGCACATGAATTAAAGCACTGGTCACTGACTCTGTGCCAGGCCCTTTGCCGAGTGTTTCCCATGAACATCTTCAATCTGCCCGACAACTCTATGGGTAAATATTGTTATCATTCCCATTTGGCAGATGAGGATATAACTGAGGCACAGAGAAGTTTAATAACTGGTCCAAGATCACTCAGCTTGTAACTGGCAATGAGAACTCACATCCAGACCTGTCTAACTCCTGGGCCTCAGCCCCTAACCAGTGCTCTACCACCTCCTTAACTGACATAAAGTGTATTCTAAACTCTACAGTGCTAGAGAGTTTAGTCATTGATTTTATTTTTTAATCTGTAACAACTTCCCCGAAGCACCAGCTCTCCCTCACATGGCACCCTTCATGGTGATTTTCACTGACAGCTCATCTGTGAGCAGCACTAACGGCACAACGTTTTGATGTCTAAGAACATTCCTATGGGAGATAATCCTAGCTTCTGGCTTGTTTCTGATTAATGGTGGAGCCTTAACTATTCTCTTTCCTGTCATTTGGCCAGGTGTCCGCCCAGGGCATTCAGTTCATTTGGCCTGTCCACCCAGGGCATTCAGTCCACACCTCTGAACCTGGCAGTGAACTGGCGGTGTGAGCCCACCAGCACCGACCTGCGCCGCAATTACAAATACAATACGGATGCAATGACAACCGCGGTCGCCCTCAACAATGTGCAGTTCCTGGTCCCCATCGACGGAGGAGTAACCAAGCTCCAGGCCGTGCTCCCCCCGGCAGTCTGGTAAGGACCCCAACCCCCTTCCGCTTCCCCAAAGAGCTCCTCTGGACAGGGGGACCCCAGACTTCTTAGCATTTGTTTCCTCCTGGAGACCACAGCAGGCCTGTGTGTCAGGTTCAGGGAAAGAAACAGAAACCACCGCAGCTATTTTAAGCAGAAAATGGTTTAGCACAGGGGTTTAGATGCCCACACGTACATGGTGGAAGTGCTAGAAAAACAAGCTTTAGGCTGGGTCTCCAGGAATGTTTCCTGGAAGACGTAGCATCGGCCGGCCAGAGGAGCTGCTTGCCTCGGCCGTAACCAAGAAGGAACATCAGGAGGCTGCCAGGGCAGCCACTGAATTCAAGAACCCCCACTGTCACTCGGGTGACAGATGAGAAAGCTCCTACCAGCTCTGCCTTAACTGCCTTTCAACACTCACAAAACTGCAGGCTGGACTGCAGCACTGCGGTCAGATCCCCACACCTCAGGTTGCTGGCAGCAGAAAACAGCCAAGAAAGCAGCCGGAGAAAGGCCTCTCTCTCCCTCCTGTTCTCCAGAGCTCACGCAGTGCCTGTGACTGGTGAAGTCTAATCTGCACCCAGGGCCCTAAACACAAGGGAGCCTGAGAAGTGGAGGGTTTCGCTTTGTAGCCTCTGGGAACAGAGACTGGACAGGCACTGAGTACCAACGGCAGCTCCTAGGAACAATGTTCTGGGTTTCCCACATGATTGTCAAAAGCAGAAAATGGAACATTTTTAAAAAATGAATGTCAGCTCCAATGTAAATGGCCTGAACTGATGAACTAACCCTTCTCATCTATCCTTTCAGTAGATGTGTTTAAAAAGACTTAACCATATTGTCCTCTAAATATTTATCTATCCGACAGTGTTGTAGCCGGTTACAATAAGGAACAGGAAAGGAGAGAATTTATATGTGGATAGATAGATAAATAGATAGATAATGTTTAAATTGTAGCTGGAATCTTCAAAATCCTTTTTAAAAAAATTAACACTATCTGGAAAAAATAGGGCATCTATTAAACAAAAAACCTTGCCAATGCAAAAGTCTTTTACCAATTTTATTTTTAGGAATGCCGAACAACAAAGAATATTGTGGAAAATTCCCGATATTTCTCAGAAATCAGAAAATGGAGGTAATGTCATCACAGGCTTACTTTATTTAATATCTGAGGCTGAAATAATTTGCAAGTATCAGGTAACTATTAACCAAAATACACTTTATACTAAAAGCAAGCAAAATATGTC